TTGGTAAGTTGATGGATGAAACTTGACTTCAATTCAATCCCTCGGCGGTTTGCGGTATAACGATAGCAAGAGGTGTATGAGTAACATCTGTTTCCATCGTTTGTCTAAGTGTCAACTCTTGAGGAGGATTGGGTGGATTGGGGTTATTGGGATATTGTTGCAAGTAATTGGGTGGTTGTTGGTAAGGTGGATATGGTTATTGTTGAGGATTGTAGATTGGTGGTGGATAAGGTTGGTAGTTAGGGTATTGGTTGTAAGGAGGTTGTTGTTGAGGGTACATTGGGTTTTGCTACATTGGAGGGGGTTGATAATTGGGTTGATTTGGGTAATGTACTTGTTGAACTGGAAAAGCATTGTTTTGAGGTTGGTTGTTTTGGTGGAAGTGTTGGTTTTGTAGTTGTGATGGTGGTTGATAATTGGGTTGGTTTTGAGGAGGGGCTTGATTCCAAGGTGGCATATCAATGAGAGGTTCTTGTGGTTGTTGTCTTGGTTGATGGGGTGGGGTATTGGCATCTTGATTGATTGGGTTTGGGTTGGGATTATGAGGTGGAGTGTGATTCATGGCTATGTGGTTTTCAAATGGAATGTCTTCAAAGGAATGACCAACAATTGGAGAACTCGGTTCGGTGTCGGTATCACTTGAAGTATGAACTTGATCTTCTATGTTGATTAGTGGAGAAGAGGAAGAAGCTTGAACTAGTTGTTGTTGCTTTGCTTGTTTGGCTAACTTTTTCAACCTTTTTGCTTCTCTTTCAATTTCCGGATTGTAGAGTAGTTCACCGGTTCTTGTAGACCTAGGCATAAACAATCAAATAACAAAAACCAATTTCCCCGGCAACGGCGCCAAAACTTGGTTGGGATGTCAAGCCCACCAAGCAAATTACACCCTTTGATTGCTAAATAAACGTAATATAATGGTAAAAAGGGGTATCGATCCTCGGGGAAATGGTTGTATTCAATCACCAATGCAATTCAATAGAACTAGTGAAATTAAACTAACTAACTACAATTAAAATAAAAGGGGGGTGTTTGATTACTTGAAAACTAAAATACTTGAATAACTAAAAACCTTGCAATTAAGCAAGTTGATGAGATGCTCAAAGGTTGGGAATAATTGGTTAACTAAGGCAATTCAACACAATGAACATTTGTGTGTTTATCATTAGGATCTAATACAAAGCTTATCCTTCATCCCAAATTGGTTATAGCAATCATGAAGCATGATATGCCAAGATTCCTCATAGGTAGTATGGAGGTTGGGGAAGCCCACAACACACCTTCTTAATTAAGATCAAGGGTCAATTGAAGCAATTAATCCCAAGAAATCAATTAGCCTTAAGAATGAAGGAATCCCCAATTCCTAGAGGATGTCAAATGCTTACACATCCATAAAGGAGATATGATTCATAAGCTAGAGATGATTTCTACCATCATAAAGCCTTTGTTCTAGATAAATTCAATGATCCAATGCAAAATCAATGAAATAAATCAACTATTGCTCAATCAAATACTAAGCTCATGATCAAAGTATCAAATAAGCATAAGAATTGCAAACTAGAATCATAAACATGGAATAAATTGATAATCAACATAAATCCTTCAAAACCCACAAACATTCATTGGTTTTCAGCCAAAGTCAACCAAATAAGAGTATTAGCCACTCATGGCAACAAAGTAACAAGAACAATAATCTAATTGCATAAAGAAACTACCTAAGATTTGGAAAGATGAAAGGAAATGTTTCTAGCTCCCAAAATCGCCTCTTGCAGGTCTCCAATGGTGGAAAATCGTGAATGAGCTTCTAGATCTGATCCCCAAGGGTTATGGCAAGCCAAATGACCAAAATGCCCAAACTGGGCAGTTGCGCGGGTACCCGCGCGACGAAAATTCCACCCGCGCAAATGTTGCTGTAATGCTATTGGTCCACCAAGCCACTCCACCCTTCCACTACCAAAGATTCCTTTGGTCCCCCCTCCTTGTCCATGTAATTTGAAATGCACCAATCATCATTTAGCCACCAAATGGATGCTCCAAGCCCAAAATTTGAATTTTATGATCCATCTTCACAAGCCCAAATAATCTAAGCCAATAACTTTCAAAGCCCAATTCTTCCTCTTTGATTCCGCCAAGCCTAATAATGCCTCGGGAGCCCACTAAGCCCGTCTCCAATCAACCCGCAACCGCAACAAGCACCGAAAAACCTACAAAATATCTCATGCAACATAACAAGCACCCGATACGATCCATACTAAAGAAAAATAAATAAAATACAATGCATTAATGATAAAAAGATCTAAAAATCTAAAATAAACTAATAAAAATAAGGAAATAAAATAAGCTATCACTTAAATATTAAAAGGCTAAAGAAATAATGTATTTGACGTCAATTTACACAATGCAAACACTGATGTTGGTTTATTAAAAATTTAGAAAAATGGTTGCTTATTAAAAAATTTATGAAAATAGTTATGCACAGGTGAATGATTATATAACAAATTTGTACACAAGATTTTGATTATTAAGTTGATCCCAATCATTGCAATTCCATACATTTACAAAAGCAAAAATAAAACTGACAATGACTAACTCCAGTTCCTTATTGCAATAATGACGAGGAAATGGCTAGGGATCCTCACAATATTGTAGGTGCATAAACTGTAAGCTTTTATTGTTGTTCAAAATTTCACCTCCTTCATTCTATGTGATTTATGTATTGGTTAATCGTCTTAAAAATTTTATAATTTGAAGAAATCACAGTGTCTATATTTTCAAAATTTTATGCTACTTTGATGTATTGCTTTCCCATGTCTTTAGGTTGTTATTCATCGAAGAGCGTGGAATTTCACATTATACTGTTGATCCCAAATTCAAGAAAGCATCGCTAGACACCAAGGGTATTCAAAGCATTATCCAAAATTACATTGTTCTGTACCATTTACTCCGGTGCCTGCTCCAACGATCTTATTGACAAACACTTCTTACAAAGATCAAGTATTTGGAATTTTAGTCTACTAGAATTATGTTTAAATTTTACTCTTTTTTATTAATTAACTTGGTTGAATAAATTGGTATGAGATTGACTTATTGAGTGCATAAATTGGTAAGTTGGTAAATAGTATAACTTCTTTTGTTAGTAAAAGGTAATTTCCCAATCGAGTAGTTTCAAAATTGTCGTCCATTTTTGTTGTGCAAGTAATAAAATAATATGTTGCTGCCATTTGAACTTCTACGTAACATAGGTATTCAATCAAACAAGTAAAGTAAAAAAAAAAGACCTAAATGCTAGAAATAACAAGTTACTTTTTAAGTAAGATGAACCTAAATATTAAAAATAACAATATAGTTTCTTTAAAGCTATTTTTTAATGTAGGATGGACCTAAATATTAAAAGTAACAATATATTTTCTTTAAAAGTAAATATACTTTCTTTAAAGCTATTTTTTAATGTAGGATGGACCTATATATTAAAAATAACAATATATATATATATTTTTTTTACAGCTAGTCATGTTGGTGTTATAAGTTCATTCTGATCTGCCAAGCTTTTTTTACCAGGTTTTTTTTATAGTTGGTAGAATAAGGGACAATTTTTTGTCGAAAGGTACAATGGTTAGGCGCTAATTTTGTAATAACTTTTGTTAACAGATGTACCTACAGAATTGGGACATACACATGACCTTTTTTGTAATTTACTCTCTAATATAAAATTTTAAAGTATCAAGAGTCTGTTAACAAAATCCCAGACCATACTCTTTACATTTCGATCCTTAATTACACCACATTTAATGCTAGTGTTCTAACCCAGCGGTATCCGGTGTTGCCCTTTCTCCTTGAGGTCGAGAGTTCAAGTCCGTGAGTAGAGGTGGCAAAAATTGACACGACACGAAACCCGACACAAAATAAACGGGTTTGGATAAGATATTTCAACTCGTTTAAATAAACGGGTTGATACGACACGACACGAAAATTAAATAGGTAAGGTTAAGGTTGAGAATTTCAACTCGAATATGACTCGAAAATGACCCGTTTATTTATATGCACGTTTTTTGAATCATTTAAATAATCTAGAAAGATACAAAACCAAAACCATAAGCAAAAGAAAACCTTCGAATTGAATTGTTTTGTAATGTTGAAATGACTTAGCCGTCTAGGTCAAGACTTCATTTCAGTTTTTCCATTCTCTCCCAAACTACCCAGTCTCTTTCACCACTCTCACATCCTCATGGCCTTGTCATCCGCCTCCCCAACTCTTACTCTTTTAGTTTTGTCATCTGAACCTGCTATGACTTCATCTATTCTACCTTCAAATTATTAGTTTTTCTTTCCGCCTACCTAACTCCTACTCTTTCAACATGCTCAATCTTTTAACCTCGCATGACACGACATATTTCAAGGTATAGCCCTAACTCGAAACCCGACACGAACTCGACACGAAAATAAACGGGTTGACACGACACGACACGTTAATTAAATGGATCGGGTTAGGATCATGCACTTTCAACCCGTTTAGTGTTTCGACACGACATGAACCCGACACGACACTACACGATTGCCACCTCTACCCCTGAGGGACATAGGTGGTGATTTAGGAGTAATGTAGCATAATAGAATTTGCCTTTCCAAAAAAAAAAATATTCTAAATATACGTGATATGTTAAGCTAAAATTAATTATTCTAAATATACGTGATATGTTAAGCTAAATTGGGAGTCGAATCTTTTAAGTAAGCTCAACTGAAATAATAAAGTTAAACAAACGAAAACATAAATTTTGAAAAGTAGAGGGTAGTTCATAAAATTCAAAGGCAAAACATAATTATCATATTTCTTTATCTATACCAAATCAATAATAGCGACCTGGTAGTTTAGCATATGTTGTTAAAAACAAAATTCTATATATACCATTCATAATTATATGGTTAATTAAATATGTTTGAAACACACCAAAACGAAAACTAGAAGATGTAATAGTTAAACAAATGACCCATGCCGGAGATGATCGTTAAAGCCACTTTAGTTTGAACTGGAGGTAGACATGAGGTGCCGACCCGTCGAGAAAGTTTGTGTGAGAATTTAGGGTTTTCCATTCTTGGTGAGGATCCAATCTTATTTGAACATGTTTGAGGTAATGAGGCCAATACGCGGTTCTGGTCTTCTTCTTCTTCTCCAAGAACTCCCTGAGCATGAGTCTGCAAAAGTGATTGTTGTGGCTGTTGTGCATGTCTGGGTTTGCTAATACGTGCTCGGGATGGCAAATCTCAAAGAATGCATCAAAAAATAGAGGACATTCCCACAGGCATTCATCCCCTATCGTTTTAAATGACAGTTGTGGCATGTTTCTGGCAGGAGGAAGCAGAAGCCTTTTTCTTAGATCATTGATGTTGATGTCCCATGACAGCTTAGAAGTAATTGGCAGTTGCTATATGAAGGTAGCAGATGTGTGATAACGTGAGTGCTTCCCTCATCTTAAGAAAAAAGTTAGCATTAACAGCTGGGAGATTTATGTGTGAGAGTGAAGGTGTGATTTGGTCGAGAGACGAGACTGGAAATACGAGACTAAGCAATGTGTAACCAGAGAACTCGAAAAAAAGTAAGTTTGGAGCATAAATGATGGGGATGTCAAGCTCACCAAGCAAATTACACCCTTTAATTGCTAAATAAAAGTAATATAATGGTAAAAAGGGGTATCGATCCTCGGGGAAATGGTTGTATTTAATCACCAATGCAATTCAATAGAACTAGTGAAATTAAACTAACTAACTACAATTAAAATAAAAGGGGGGTGTTTGATTACTTGAAAACTAAAATACTTGAATAACTAAAAACCTTGTAATTAAGCAAGTTGATGAGATGCTCAAAGATTGTGAATAATTGGTTAACTAAGGCAATTCAACACAATGAACATTTGTGTGTTTATCATTAGGATCTAATACAAAGCTTATCCTTCATCCCAAATTGGTTATAGCAATCATGAAGCATGATATGCCAAGATTCCTCATAGGTAGTATGGAGGTTGGGGAAGCCCACAACATACCTTCTTAATTAAGATCAAGGGTCAATTGAAGCAATTAATCCCAAGAAATCAATTAGCCTTAAGAATGAAGGAATCCCCAATTCCTAGAGGATGTCAAATGCTTACACATCCATAAAGGAGATATGATTCATAAGCTAGAGATGATTTCTACCATCATAAAGCCTTTGTTCTAGATAAATTCAATGATCCAATGCAAAATCAATGAAATAAATCAACTATTGCTCAATCAAATACTAAGCTCATGATCAAAGTATCAAATAAGCATAAGAATTGCAAACTAGAATCATAAACATGGAATAAATTAATAATCAACATAAATCCTTCAAAACCCACAAACATTCATTGGTTTTCAGCCAAAGTCAACCAAATAAGAGTATTAGCCACTCATGGCAACAAAGTAACAAGAACAATAATCTAATTGCATAAAGAAACTACCTAAGATTTGGAAAGATGAAAGGAAATGGTTTCTAGCTCCCAAAATCGCCTCTTGCAGGTCTCCAATGGTGGAAAATCGTGAATGAGCTTCTAGATCTGATCCCCAAGGGTTATGGCAAGCCAAATGACCAAAATGCCCAAACTGGGCAGTTGTGCGGGTACCCGCGCGACGAAAATTACACTCGTGCAAATGTTGTTGTAATGCTATTGGTCCACCAAGCCACTCCACCCTTCCACTACCAAAGATTCCTTTGGTCCCCCCTCCTTGTCTATGTAATTTAAAATGCATCAATCATCATTTAGCCACCAAATGGATGCTCCAAGCCCAAATTTTGAATTTTATGATCCATCTTCACAAACCCAAATAATCTAAGCTAATAACTTTCAAAGCCCAATTCTTCCTCTTTGATTCCGCCAAGCCCAATAATGCCTCGGGAGCCCACTAAGTCCGTCTCCAATCAACCCGCAACCGCAACAAGCACCGAAAAACCTACAAAATATCTCATGCAACATAACAAGCACCCGATACGATCCATACTAAAGAAAAATAAATAAAATAAAATGCATTAATGATAAAAAGATCTAAAAATCTAAAATAAACTAATAAAAATAAGGAAATAAAATAAATAAAATAAAATAAAATTCACATGTAGATCACAAGTGAATCACATAAGAATTACATGTGATTCACATGTAAATAACATGTAACTCACATGTAAATCACATGTAATTCACATTAGAATCACATGTAAAACTTATATGATATATGCATGTGTATTTTTGTGAGTGTTCTTGCATTAATCAAATTTTTTTAATTTTCTTATAGATTTTGAAGAATTTGTAGAAAAGATTGAAGAGATGAAAAGTGATAAATTGAAGAAAATATGAAAATCTTAATATGACGAAATGATAACATTGTGAATCTTCATAGCATTTTTATTTTTTATGTTTTATTTTTTATAGAATAAAATACTGGTACTATTATGTTTATAGATTGATTAATAAAAATGAGATTTTTTATGATTTAGTTACGAATATTATAATATAAGAAATATGCATGTATTTATTTGAAAAACATATGAATATATGCACCTAAAATGTTGAATTTTTTTGTTAAAAAAATTAGAGTTTTTTTTTTGAATATCCTATTTTTTTAAATAAATTTACTGATTTTTAAAAAATATATATATTTTTAAAAAAATATACCTTTATTAAAAAAATTGCAGTTTTTTTTTTTTTTAAGTTGCAGTTTTTTTTTTTTTTTTTAAATTGCAGTATTTAAAAAAAATGTAGTTTTTTTTGAAAAAATTATAGTTTTTTTTTTAAATTATTGTTTTATTAAAAAAATTGTTGTTTTTTAAATGCATTTTTTTCCAAAAAAATTGCAGTTTTAAAAAAAAAATCAAAATTTTTAAAAATTTATGCTTTCCAAAAAAGTTTAAAAAATCTACAGTTTAAAAAAAATGAAAATTATTTTTTTATATAAAAATCCAAAATTTTGTTTTATAATGTTAATTTGAGATATTTTTATTAATATTTTCAATAATACAAAAAATTAAGTGGGATTGGTATGATTACGATCATGCCCTTAATGATTTGATTTTGATCCAACGCTCCACCTTTAGTTCTTAGGTTCTCGGGAAACTATGAGTTCTCAACCGATCTCAACCCTATATATATATATATATATATATATATATATATATATATATATATATATATATATATATATATATATATATATATATATATATATATATTGTCACACCCCAAAACCGGAATGGCGGAAACGTTCTGGGGTGGATGACGTCATGTCAAATATCACAACAAATGCATTATAGTAATCAAAGTACAACAAAACATTGCATTAATAGTAATAGTTTTACAAGGTTGCATTACAACAATTTAAAGTAATACAAGTAATATAATAAATACAACATGGTACAAAGCTATCTTCATCAACAGCTCCGGGGATGCACCTGTCTAATGCTAACCTGAGAATACAAGTTATTTGAAAAGCGAGTATCAGCATTTTTACAAATGCTGGTGGGTTCATAAGCATTTAGTGACATTTCATTCAAATAACTTAATAAAGTGATAGTTTAAGAGATTTCAGTGTATTAGAGTTCCTTCCAGAAAATCCTATATTTTCTTTAATAAAAGCAGCCTTCTACCAAGACTGGTCAGTGTAATGTGGTAAGAAGAAGTTTCCCTTAATTGCTAATAATATCAAAATACTGAATTTGATTATTAAAGAAAGCAGAGGCATCAGGGAATAACATATGCCTTAGCAGTGAGGACTGCTGACTAAGGCAAAAGAGTCATAGACTCCAGGAAAGTATCGAACTAACGACACGCCTGGTTTAGTCTAACAAATGGAGAAACAGACCCCCGAAGGTACCAAATGAAAGGTACAACTGGTAAGGTCTAAAACAGTGAACGCAGACCGAAGACGATACCAAATGGAAGGTACATCCTGCAAGGTCATAACAATGAAGACAGACCGCAGACGTTACCAAATGAAAGGTACATCTTGTAAGGTCAAACAAAGATAACAGACCCCAGACGGTATCAAATGAAAGATACATCTTGTAAGGTCAAACAGAGATAACAGACCCCAGACGGTATCAAATGAAAGATACATCTTGTAAGGTCAAACAAAGATAACAGGCCCCAGACGGTATCAAATGAAAGATACATCTTGTAAGGTCAAACAGTGTGACTCTGAAAAACAGTGATATCAGCATATAGTGTAAATCGCTGACGAAATACCGTTACCTTAAAGCCATGAATTATAAGGCAACCCAGGATACTCGTAACCATACTGACTAGAGTACTAGACGCCCTACAAGCATCTATATAATGTGACATTTGTCACCCCTTGGCTTGGTAGGCCGTGGACTGTAGCTAGCAGTCAGGGTGCAGGGTTGTCAATCCCGTATAGGCCTATACACACAATGTCCACTCTCCCTACAGGAGACTCTGGTTACCAACTAGACGACGGAGAAGGCCGCGTCCCGAAGATGCATCCCAAATAGAGGATAGTGTGTTACTAGGAGGGAGTGGGTTTCTTATGTAAGTGTAGACTAGAGGTATAGATTCTTAACTGAATTGACTGAAGAAACTCGTATATCTATGCTCGTATACATAATATATAACTAATGAATCGAACGAACTTCAGATGGACATCCGATCCCACCAGACCACATCTCAACGAAGAAAAGGAAATAGGGCGGACAAGCCTTCCTAAGTCCTTCAATCATTATTTATATGCATCTATACAAGCATAAACATACATCTAACTACGCTTGAGTGTGTATCATACAGTGAAGTATAAGTGTACAGTGGAACATCTGAGTCGTGAAGTATAAGTGTACAGTGGAACATCTGAGTCGTGAAGTATAAGTGTACAGTGGAACATCTGAGTCGTGAAGTATAAGAGTACAGTGGAACATCTGAGTCGTGAAGTATAAGAGTACAGTGGAACATCCGAGTCGTGAAGTATACGTGTACAGTGTGGGATAATCGAACCATGAAGTATAAGCGTACCAAGTATAAGTGTATCACGAAGCCGAAACGACAATAAGTGATGTAAGAACATCTATCAAGTATAAGTGGAGTAAAGTCGTTATCATGTATAAGTGAAGGAGAAATCGTATCACTAAGTAAGAGCGTGAATAAGTATAAGCGTCATCAAGTATAAGCGACTATAGGTATAAGTGAAAGTGTTACCGAGTCAGAGTATAAAATAAGTATAAGTGAAGCAGCAGTGTTTAACAAGTAAAAGTATACGTCAAAAAGGGAAATCTTTAATGAAAAGCCTTTATGTACAGAGAAAATCACAAATTGTATTCCTTTGTAAAATA